ATTAAGACTATTCATAAATGTGACACCTGAAAGTAAAATCTGATTCCAACGAATTTTCCCAACAACAGCAGCAACAATAAATAAATGTAAATAAATAAACAAATTAGATTTAATGATTTTTTTTTCGGGTGAGGGGACAGTTCAATTAATTCCATATAGGTCATGGAAAATCAAACGACAAGACACTAAAATTAAATGCTCAAAATTCAGTTAAGGTTATAAATTTATGGTTAAAATATTTGTTCGRTTTTGTACTTTCGACTTTAGTTCATGTACTTTCAAAATGTTCTAATGTGTTTTTAACTTTAGTTAATTTTAGTCTATATATTCTTAAAATTTTATTCTATTACGATTTCAATATAACACTACAATCGATATATTTTTTAACATGTAAATCTTACTTTATATTGTATAGTTTTTGTTATTTGTAAAATTTGTGTTAAAATTTTGTAAACATTTTCAAAATACAGAGGAAAAAAATGAACCAAGGTTTTTTTCTTTTTTTTAATACAACATGTGGGAGTGGAGGATCGAACTCACGGCCTCGAGATATATGTCAATTACAGTTGAGCTATGCTTGCTTTTAGCAAAATGAAGCAAAGTTAACAGTATAAGGAACAAAATGAACATTTTCCAAAGTATAGTGACTAAAATTAACCAAGACTGAAAATATAGGGACTAAAATAGTATTTAACATAAATTTAGTCTCTATCATTTGGACAAAATTTGGAATTTGATCACCAATCTAAATCTAACTCAATTGATTAATATATGTATCTCCAACTTTACAGTTCTTACATATTATTGTACTAAAAAATATTTGAATTTGGCCTTGTAATTTTAAAAATTTCAAATTGTTTTTGCCATTTATTTTTACATAGAATTGTTCTATGGGTTACATAAACGTATTAAAATTAAGTGCTAAGTATAAAATTAGAAGAAATTATGTAAAATTTTCGAGATAAAACTCAATTTATAAACAAACCCGTGAGATTTAACCAAATCGTGACCGATCAAATTAAAATTACGGAGAGAAATTCAAACTTTGCCCAATTCATAGACCACAAATCTGTAATTTTAACTTTTAGTTAATGAGAGTGTTACATCATTGGCTATAATGGGAGCTCTTGAGGGACCCACTAATAAATAATATTTTACTGCTCAATTATTATTATTTATTTCAAAAATAAAAATAAACTCCTTTAAAGGAAATAAAGAAAGAAAATGGAAATGGAAATATTTGCTTCCCCTCTGAGTTAAGAGTTATCCGCTGCATCTGCAGGTACTTTTTTTTCTCTTTTCTATTTCTTTTTATTTTCTCGATGGGCGGTCGTGTGGGGCCCAGATTTTGATCGGACGGCTGAAGTTGTCGTTGATTGATTAGCCTCGCCCTTTTTTGACCATGTCTGACGTGCTCCGACGACTGGACCACGGGGCCCACCTCGTGATTTTTATGTGTACAAATTGGACGACGACCAACTTTTGTTATTGTCATATTTTCATCAAATTACTATTTTATCCCTCTAGTTTAGAGAATTCAACTTTTAATCTCGTTGAATGATTCATTTAGGTGAGGTGATATGATTTAGCATTAAATTGAAATAATCGTAAGCACTAAGTAATTGATTAGTTAATTTTTTTCTTCTTTCTTTATGTTATGATAAGTTAGTGACACTTGTATTTATATGAATAATTGTATCATGTTATTAGTTAATAAGAATAGTAATTTGTTCTCGTTCAGTCTTATTATAGTATCAGAGTTGAAATCCATTTTTCGATCGAATTTTCATTTGTAAGCTTCGATCATGTCGCCTACTAATGATCTATCTTTAGCTCCAATTTCCTCTTCGTAATCGCCGTTTTCGTCTATGACTAGCATTGATTATGTTCTTGGTCAATATTAACTTCATTATATATACAACACTGGACTTATTACTGTGAATCAACTTCTCATGAAGAAAAACTTACACGTCTAAGTTTAGAATGGTTAGTATATTAAATTATAATATATGAAAGAAATTAGTAAATGGACGACTAGACATTTTGAAAAGTAGTCATATAAATAAAAACGTGGTCCGTAGGCAAAGAGATTCATTGGAGAAAACCCACCCAATAACACCCAAAACTTTTTTGGTATAAGGTTGAAAATAAAAATATTAAAATACTAAGAATGATGAGAAGCATTTTCTTATTTTCCCACTTCTTTTTTGGCATATGATTCATACATCAGGAAATAAAAAAGAAAAAAACAATTTCGATCAGATATTTTTTATCTATTTTCAAAACATTTCGATATTTTTAATGTTTATTTATTTTAGACAGCTACTGATTATGGTACGTTCTTTTTCATTTATATCTCATTTTTTCAACCACAATTTTAACATCACACTTCATAATTAATTTATACTGTGTGTAAATTGGGTTAAAATGTTACCAATACGGATAAAAAAGATATCTTTTTAAAAGTACATGAACTAAAATAACCATTTTGAAAATAAAAAAAATTAAAAATAACAAAAGTCATAAGTACATGAACTAAAATCAAAAGTACATGTACCGAGTTTATAACCTACCTATCTAGCTTGACCCCCACTTAATTAATGTGTAAATTTATTTGCTTTATATTTTTCCTTATAAAATTAGCTCATGGAGTTCATTCGGGTTCTAATTTTGTCTTTTTGTATTTTTAAAATTTCTATTTCATCACGCACTGCTAAATAATCTTATATCCTTACCATTTAAAAGTCTATTAAATTTTGTGAGTATGATAAAAAAAAATAAGTTATCCAGTTCGGTAGTATTCTTTTTTTTAAGTTGAAAGTTCAAATTTCCATACTTCATATTTATTGTACGGAAATGAAGAGGGATAATATTCATTAAATTTTTGTGATTCGTAAATGCTTTGGTAAATTGGAATTTTTATAAACAAAAACAAAAAAAAGATTAGGGTTAAAATGTACAAATGAAAATAATAATATAACCATTTTTTTTAGTGTTCGTCTGTTTGAGGAGATGAACCAGGAGTGATTTGGGAGTATATAAATATGTTTTCTAGGGAAAAAAAAAACTACTCTAAAAAAATAACCTAAACATACTTTTTAAATTTCTTTAAATATCTATCATGTCAAATGCAAATAAAATAATTAAAGAAAATACAAAACAAGATGTTGCTAAATTATTTGAAATTTTATTAAAATATTTTTGTCTGCTAGTAAACTTTTCCCTGTATTATTCTTTTTGAAATTATAAATCATTCTACTTTAAGAAATGGTACGTTCTTACCATCTATTTAGTACAAAACGAAAAGGTTGGACTGAAATTGGTAATATTTGTCTTCTAATAAAAGCATAATGTATAATTTTCTGAGTGAAATTTTCAATATAAAACTAATATGTATTTTTAAAAATATTACACTTACAACATTTTTTTAATATAGTATAACTATGACTAATATATACTTTATGGCATATTTAAGGTAGACTTTGATTAAATCAGGATACTTTTATAGAATTTTAAATTTTATACTATGTTACTAATATAATTATCTCTTTTCGTCAAAGCGAGCATAGCTCAACGATAATTGACATATATTTCAAACTAAGAGATTGCGAGTTCGATCCCCACTCACATGTTGTACCTAAAAAATTATCTGTTTTCTAAAGTATAGAAATTTATAATATTGTCAACCTAAGTTTAGCTCAATAATAATTGACACCTATTTCTGATCATAGGGTCATAAATTCAAATCTTCCGCCCCATTTTTTACTAAAAAAAATACAAAAGTTTATAATATTAGAGAAAGTAATACTAGAGTAATACTAAGAGCAATATGTTTCAATAATAATCAAAAGCAATCTCCTCATTGAAACTTCTTATGGGCTGATTAATCTGGACGTGGCCAAGGCCCGTTAATCTAGACATCCTTATTGGGCTCATTTCCAAGGCCCATTCATGCCTAACAATATTGGGCCTATGTCGTATTCACATAAAATTATTGAAGATAAATCATAAAATATCCTTTTTTTTTTTTTGAAAAGTTCATAAAATATACTTCGCAGCTAAATTATCCATAAAGATAATGTAACTAAGAATTATCAATTCATTGGAAAACTGGATTATACCCTTAAAACCCTTAAAACGGCCTAGTTCTTTTGTAATGGAGAAAATTGCATTGATATACCTATATCAACTAATACATACTTATATTAGGTATATTAGCTATATCAATGATGTGTCTAAAATCATATTTATCACAGATATATTAAATTTATCAATAATAAACTTGTAAGGTTACTTAAACTAAGGATTGATGATATCATTGATATCGAGTTATTTTCCGATTTATAGATATGATGAGGACAAACTCGAGATAACAAGGAATTTTTTTTTTTTTTTGAAGTTTTGTGGTATAAATATTTTTGCTTCTTACTACGTTAAAACGTTCGTTTTTGTCCACGTAGTTTTAAAAGGAATTGACATTGTGAAATTACATCAACTTCGTAACCAAATGAAAGTAGACAAAAGCATCCCATTCGTTCCGCTCGCAACAATCCAATTAGTTCTCCTGGTTGAAAGATTTTGATTTTCGATGGCAAAGGCATTTCAACGCGTCGACCACATGCCCGAGCATAACCTTTCCTGCACGAACATCCACAATCGATCCAGCGCGCAGGAAGGGAAAAATGTTACCAGAATTTTGAAGTCACCCCGAACTTCGAGTTGGATATCACCATATACTAGTACTAGTGCGAATTCAAGGCTCGATGGAAAAGGAAGAGATCAAATAGGGTATTGGAGGACCAAACTAATTTTAAATATAAAATACAACATTTAAAATTCTTACTTAAAAAAAAAACTTTTATAGAAGAAAATAAAAGAAGCACAAAAATTTTAAACCATAAATTAAAAATTCAAGCCGTTGCAATTAATCAAATTACTACTAGTTTGGAGAAAATTTTGTAAATTGCCCAAAATCGTTTATATATATACCCATTCTTTCGCAAGAAGCCCTAGAAACTCGTCGTTCGTCATTAGCGCAGTTCCTTCGAGAGCCGTTAGGGTTTCGCTCTGTTTGGCAGCTGAGAAAATCGTTTCGCAGCAATGGAATCCGGCCGCCACGATCATGTATTCCAATTTCCTTCTTCTTGTGATTTGATTATTTAACTTCAGATTCTAACGCAAGGATCTGCTTGTTTCTCCTGGAGCTTTATCGGCTACGATCCGTTCTTTTTGTTGGTTGTTTCGATGATTTCAAAGGCGAAATCGGTCGTGTGTTCTTTATTTTGAAAGAAATCCGTGAAACAATTTTCCTGTTGCTTGCTGATGATGACGAACATTTTTCAGGCATGAGCCGCGGCAATACGATTTGCGCTCTGTGTAGAAGATTTCTACATGGGTTGTTGTTGCGATGAATAATGTGCCAAAATGCTAATCTGAGGCTCTCTTGCTCTTAATTTTGCTGTTTCCTTTTTACAAAAGGATCATCGATTAGTTTAGAATTGATGAAAGTTTAAATTGGTAACACTTATTCAAATTTAGGGCTAAAATTCTCGTCATCATCAGCAGAGTAGTATTGTTTATCAGCTATTTCTGCGTCAGGGGAGAATGTGTACAAATTTAACTCAAAACATTTTGATTTTTGATTTTTGATCCAAATCTTGAAAATAAATTTTTCTAACTTTGCTGATTTCATCTATCTATAATTTTGGCCTTGTTCATGAAATGTAAAATTTAACACGAACAAAATTTTTACTCATTGAAGCACAAACATTTATTCCATGCTTTTCATAAAAGAAAAAAAAGTAGGATTGATAGAAACTATAGAGGAAATTGAGATTGAGGATGATCAGTTAGGTGTCTTCTTTGCAAACAAGACTCTCTCAAAGACTCTAGAGTCTTGAGCACTTGTCATGGCAAATTTGCCCAGAAGATTTGGAGTTAGTTGTTTGAGATGTTTGAAATTTCTTGGGCCCGGCATAGAGAATGTTTAAAATTTCTTGGGCCCAGCCTAGAGATTGGGGGGTTATGGTGGAGGAAGTGCTCTTGGCTTCTCCTTTCTGTGAGAAGGGAGGTTTTTGTGGCAAGGTTGTTTTTTTCGGAGGCATGGGGAATTTGGTTCTAAAGGAACAATAGAATTTTTAGGGGTGGAGAGAAACAACAAGGCAGTTTGGGAGCTTGTGAGATTTAATGTTTCTTTATGGGGTTCTATCTTATTAGTTAGATCAAATTCTTTTGGATTGGAAGTCCTTCTTTTAACTGTTGTTTTCCCTTGGTGGACTCTTGTTTTTTGTGTGCCTGTGTTTTTTTCATTTATCCCGATTGAGGTTATGAACCATTTGTCTACTATATTGGAGGAGTTGTTGTTGGTCCTAAAAGAGAATTTAGATAGAAAATAATTTGGTTGGGTTGTGCTAGAAATTCATTATCTTGAAAGCAATTTTAAAAAGAGTTTAGAATGTTTATTTGTAAAATACCATGGAGTAAAACTATGGTAAAACTATTTTGGATAAAATTGGGTAAAATATACTTTTTTGGTTTAACTGTTACTAAAAAATACTTTACAATTCTTGTTGTTTCTCTCTCTAGAAACCCTAATTTGGGGTACATAAATTTCACAATGGTAGAAACTTGTTTTAATTGAAAAGTGAAATATAGGAAGGTGAAAGGACCAGTTCCCAATTTTGTTCTTGCGTGTAAATGAGTGGGCAAATTTTAAATAAGGTGGTAATATTAAATAATCAAATATTTACTTTTATNCTCCCGTCTCCTTCTCCAAGTTTAGCTGTTTCTCCCCTTCTTCTCCAATTCTCTTCCCTTCTTTGTCATTTTCTTCATACCTAAATTTGCATTTCTAATTCAACAACTCCTTTTGATACAATTTCTAATTAGATCTTCAAATTCAACCATACAAGTTTATGTTCATAATCACAACTTTCAACAACTTTTTCTTTCAATTTCTCTCACACAAATTTTCTCATCATCCAAACAGAAAATCCACCAAAGAAATTTCAGACAATCAATCTCAAGAAACGAACATAAATCTAAGTAAAAAATAAGCATCTTAATCTTAATCTGCATGCCCTCAACGGCGAATTTAGTGACCACCACCAAAAGTCCCAGAAGAGCAACCATAATTCACACCAGAAGCCTTCCTTTCCATTATCTGTAGAGGAAGTGAAGGGATCAGAGATGGGAAGAGAAAAAAGTTTAAAATTGATAAAAATAATATAAAATTATTTAATATTGCCACCTTCGTTTAAAATTTGTCAATTCATTTGTGTCACATCATTCTTCCATTAGTCAATTAATGGTCAAATAACCTGACCATTTAGAACTAGTTTTAAAGGTTAGAGACTAAATTGTCATTTTTCTCYTCAAACCCAGGGATAAAAATGTATTTTACCCAACTATTTTTTACATAACTATTTTTTACATCACTTCACAAGTAACGGAGGTATAAAATAATGGAAATTATTAATTTACGAAATTAGTTTCATAAATGAATTTAAAACGCATTTGAATATTCCTCCCAATTCTAAATATATTGTTACTTTGCTTTGCTAAAACAATAAATTGAAGGTAAAAAAATATTTTTAAAAAATATTTTTCTTTTGATATTTCCAACAATAAATTGAGGGAATCAAGTATTTGATTCTCAATTGATTCAAGGTGCGACATGTGTGAATGAACCAAAATTATGATTGCCACGTGTCATATTTTAAGTGGACTCCACTTTAATTGGTCATCTTTTGAGTAGTCTACTAATATACTTTACTTTTTCAATTTTGTTTTCGCCATCACTTTTTCTATTGGACCCAATTCGTGTAATTTATTGGAATCGTTTTTTCGAACTTTAAGGTGAGTAAAAGAGATTTGATTAGAATTGATTTTCCAAAATCACCATTCAAGTGAGACCAAACACGATCATTGAAACTCGTAAAACTAACAATAAACACCTTTCCTTTAACTTGGCAGTGAATTTTATAATTATGAAAAATACTATTAGAAATCCTTAAAATAATTTAAAATTTTAACAAATCACTAGAGAAATATTGGGATATAATCGTGGGGAGATTTTAATTTTAGAAAGTTTTAATCTTTGTTGCACCTGTTACCATCATTCGCCTTAAATTTTTTTATTTATTAGATCCTAGACTGAAAATAATGTAATAATTATTTGAAAGGCTTCTTTCAGGGATCGAGAATATATATGTCTTATCAGTTGAACTATATTTTAGTATTATTCTCATCCGTTCAACTGTATTTTGGTAGACAAATTTTGTGGACAAAATAGTATCTCATGCATTTAATAAATTATTGTTTTTACCAAAAATTCTTATTTCCCGTGAAGGCCTTCCATTTTGTTTTTATTCATCTACGCACAAGGAACAAAATGGTCCAAAATTGATTCTTTTCACTTCCAAGTTTTGTAATTTTGTGTTATTTAATTGTTTTAATTTCTTGAGTACCAACGATAATTTTGGAAACAATCAATATTCAATTATTTTGTTTTTCTTAATATGAGGGTATTTTTGTAATCTAACTATGAGCAAAACTAAGAAGGAGTTAGAATAACTACTAAAATGAAACATTTTCTAAACTTTTGACAAAAGTGCAAGAATACAAAATTTAAAGGGAAAAAAATTAAAGGAAAACTATTTCTTGGTAAAAAGGTAATTTTTCAAAGAAAAAAAAAAAGAAGAAACCAGTTTGATTGCTATCATTTGAGTTTTATTGTAATTTGCTTTCTATGATTTAAAAAGTTTTTCAGCCCCGTGGTTGAGTTTAGTTTGATCTATATGATTTGACTAAATTTCATAATTCATCTAAACGTTTTTTTTTTAACATCCATAACTTTTTTTTTATCAACTGTGGGGTGTGGTTGAAATTTACAACCTCTTAATCCGTTGAGTTGTGCTCGTTTTAGTGGAATGCGATAATAGAGATTTATGAAATTTAACCAAATAATAACAAACAAAATGAAAATTTAAAATTATAGGACAAAGATCCAAATCGACTAAATTAATGATTTAACCTAAAAAAATCTTAATATTATTATTATTTGACAACTGGTTCATATATGTTAAATTACAAATTTGGTCTCTACGATTTTAAAAGTTCAAATTAAATATCTATAGCTTGGACTTAGTTTTATTATAATTCCTGTGATAAAATCAATTGGTCCTTATATTGGTCTAGTCGAACTTCAAAAATCATCTTTGTCACTATCATATTGGCCAATTTTTTTTTTTCATAGGGCAGTTTTATATTTCAGACTGTATTAGAGTTTAATTAAGCTGAGTAAAAAATTAAAGAAAATGGATGGTTTCATCCAGTGAATATAACAAAATTTAGGGACAACTATATAGATTTAATTAGACGATAGGAACAAAAATGAAACTGCAAGTACCAAATTGAAACTTTTAAGACTACGACAATCAAATTCAAACTAAGCTCAAATTATAAAATCTAAATTTGAAATTTATAAAAAACTAAAGTGAAACTTTGTGCAAACCACATGGACCAATTTCATAATTTAAATTATATTTGATAAAATAAATATATAATTAAAGTTAATTTTAAAGTATCTCTTTTTGGGAAGAAGTAATAAAATTCCAATATTAGTTGGACCCATAATGAATGAAATAAATATAATAAATATTGCCTACCTTAAACATAGATTAAAACATATAATATTAACCAAAAGATGTTATTCGAATCTCCACCTCTACGGTTTTGCATTGAATTTAAAAAAAGAGAGAGAAAGAAAAATCGAAGAGATATTAAAAAAAAAAATCTGACCATTAACTCACGAGACTGGAGAAAAGAAAATTGAAGTGCTTATGACCATAATGCAAGAGTAAGGTCATCAAACCCTATCTTGATTCTCGAGATTCATCTTTGAAGATCTTTAATCTCTCGACTATCTCAATTAGTCTCAACCATTAAACGCATTGTAGAGTTTTATTTGTAACGATTCTTGAAATAAACATCTATTCAAATTTAAAGTAAAGGTTACCCCAACACTTTACCTAATTTAAAATTAGAAGTGCAGGAAACCTAAAATAAAATTGATTTTTCCTCCAAATTTTTATTGCTAATGCCACCACGTGTAAAGCGTGAGAACCAATCACATAAAAAAAAAAAACTTAAAAAACTTTCCAAAAATTTTACTGCTTAGACCACGTGTAACGCGTGGGATATTGGAACCCTCGAACCAATCACATACAATTTTCAAATTCCCTGCCATACTCACACCTCAACAAACCATATTCTCATCCTACGGCCATTATTTCATCACCAAAATTTTCCGTTGATTTCTTTTTAGACTTTATTTCCTTTTTATTATTATTATTATTATTATTTTTTTTTTTTGCAGTTTGGCCGTTTGGTAATATTCTTGCTTTTATTTGTTTTAATTTTTGTTCTCAGCTCACCTCGTGTAATATTAAAAAAAAAAAAAAAAACCTTAAAATTTCTATTTTCACCCGTTCAAAACTCCCTCTCTTGGCCTCTCGCTCATTTCTTAATCTTCTTAATTTGAGACTCTTCTTGCTGAAGAAATCCAAGGTAATCAGATTTCTGCTTTATCCTTCCATTTCCGCTTGATTTTTTTGTTTCCTTACAGAATGGCGGTCTCGTGTTCGTTATTTCTGTGTTTGTGGCGATTGAACTGAGAAAACAATCTCTGAATCTTATGCTTCAAGATTGATCGATTCATTGATGATATAATTTTGCTTGTTTGTTTGATTTGATCATCCTGATGATTTTTCAGAACTTCTTTTGTTGTTAGCGTACGAATGGCCAGTAAAAGAGTAGACTCTTAGGGGCTAAGTAATCGCCCTCTGGCATTGGGATTTCGTGTGTGAACACAGAAAAAACSAAGTTATATTCAACGAATTGATGTTGTTATGCTGAATTTATGCTAATGGTTCTACTCTGTAGTTCTTAGAACTGTGTATGAGATTTGATTTACTTAAATAATTTTGATTTGAAGAACTTCGTGGATTCGTTTTTAGGAAAATTTGCGATGAATTTGGGTGCGGAAGGAGACCCTCAAGAGCGTGCTATCACATTATTTGTGTTGCTTCTCTGTGCTTGTATTGTAATTGGTCATCTTCTTGAGGAAAGTCGTTGGATTAACGAATCAGTCACTGCCCTTTTCATTGTGAGTTGCATTTTGTTTAACGCTATGTTGACAGATTCTACCTCAAATTTGGTTTAAGTTTCTATTTTCATGGCTATTTTAACTTTGGTTTATTTTTGTGATTCTTAAAATGTCCATTTTGATCCTTACTTGCAAAATTTTGACATAAATTCGACATGTAACGAAACCGTTTAATACAATGTCATTGTTACCTTTAAAAAAATATATTGGATGAATTGTTGAAATTGTGATAGAAAAAATGAGATTAAAAATAAAATTAAGGAACTAGAACCGATGACTTTTAAAAACCACAAAACTAAAACGAAGTTTTTGAAAGGTTAAAGAAGAAAATAGTATTTTGATGATTAACTTGTTCAGTGTTGTGATATTTGTTTGTGTTTTCTGTAGGGCCTTTTAACTGGAACTTTCATCTTGTTAACAAGCAGTGGCAGACACTCTCGCATCCTAGTGTTTAATGAAGAGCTTTTCTTCATTTATGTTCTTCCACCTATAATATTTAATGCTGGGTAAATCTTTTGGAATTATTTATATAAAGTGCAACTTCTAGGCCATCAACCACTCTAAGTTGGTCGGGTCGGGTGGTCACTCGGGCCAATAAAAAAAAGTAAAGAACTTAGAGAGAACGAGTTCAAATTTTGGTGACTACCTAYCTATGATTYAATATCTTACAAATTTCATTTACAACTAAATGTAATTGGGTCAAGTTGTGTATGTTTCAATTACTACTTGTCTTCATTATTTTGAGTTTGATTTACTTTTTCAGGTTTCAGGTGAAAAAGAAACAGTTCTTCCGAAATTTTCTGATGATCATGTTGTTCGGTGCTGTTGGTACTGTGATCTCATTTCTCATTATATCATTAGGTACTTTCTTAACAATACAGAGTTGGGATAGTTGGGTGATTATAGTTCTCGTTTTTAGTTTTTCATTTTTATTGTTTCTTTCTTTTTAATTAATAAAAATATTTTCTGTTCTTTTTCTTTTTTTTTAATTAAAAAAAGAAAAAGAAACATGTTGATAGCAATTTTTTGTTTCTGGTTTTCTAAAATTTTAAATAAAAAATATAAATAAAAAATAGTAAAAAATTTTATATGAAATTTATTTTTTAAATTAAATATTAAAAAAATTAAATTTAATACTTATTTTTTAAAATATTTATTATTGGTTGGAAAAAAACTCAAAAATGGAATAAAAAATAAGAAACTTGATTTTATTATTTCTAAAATTTACATAATTTTAAAAACGTTTTTTAAAAATGAGAAATGAGAAWCAAATTAGTTACCAAAAACATATGTTTTACTTAAATGGTAAATAAAAGCAAAAAAATAAGAAACGAGAACATATCGTGTCTAATATTAATGAAATTAAACAGCAACAATGATTCAATAATAACGTTGAGACCTTTGATACAGGTTCACTCAATTTATTCAAGACATTGGACCTTGGCTACTTAGAAGTGGGTGATTATTTTGGTATATTTCTAGCCTTCTTCCTTAATAATTTGTGTCTATAAAGCCGGTGCATAATTTTGATTAAATTTTTATTTGGCTAAATATATTTTTTAATTATTGATGTTTAAATTTTCTTCAACTTAGTCTATATTATTTGTAAAATTTTAATTTAGTTCCTCACCGGGGAGGATCTATGTTGAGTTGGAACATCATTAATTTTTTTTTAGAAAAGCCATATTTGTAGTAGTCTATTAAATACCGAGTTTTAGCCCTGTAGCAGCTTTTATATTTTTCAGAAGAAAGAAACAATAATATATATATATATTTTAGGAAAAAACAAACGGCAGCGTTAGTACTATTTTTTTTTAATTAAATTATAACTCAATTTTTATTTTGAGATTTTTTTTTTCATTTAAATGAAATCATTTAAACTTTTTATTTTATCTTTAAATATACTATAATTTAGACGACTCAAATACAATACACACAAATATATATATAAGTTTATTCTTTAAATTTTATTCATTCTTTCTCGATGTCAAATATAAATGTAAATAAATAAAAAAATTTCATTTTTTACTAAATTATTTTAAATACAATTCAATGCATAAAAAAATCTTGAATTCCTATAAAAAGAAAAATAATTTATTATTTTAAAATTTATTTCCTTTCTTCTATATTTATATAGAAAATTTAGTTATACTTACTATTGAATAAATTTAATTGCTTAAAGTCAATTTGCAGGTAAGATATTTTTTATTTGTTATTAAATTGTTTTAAAAACAATTAATTGCATAAAATATCTATAATTCCTATTAAAGGAAAAAATGATTTATTATTTCTAGTTTCATTTTTTTCCTTCTATATTTATTTAGAAATTGTAGTTATGCTTTATATTAAATAAATTTAATTAATTAAAGTCAATTTGAATATGATTAGGTGGATAAGATGCCTATTACCATCTAAAAAGGCTATGATTCAATTTCCATTCCCACAATTGTTTAACTAACAAAAAAAAGAAGTAATTGGTTAAATTATAAGTTGTGTCTACCCGAAAAAGCTTCTAAACTTAAAAAAAATGTCCAACAGATCTAAAAAATTTCAAATTTTTATATAATAAATTCACAAGCTTTCAATTTTATGTCTAATAGATCTATAACTTATTAGACTCTTTTGAAAGTTCAATGATTTATTAGACACAAGTTTGAAAGTTTAAGGRCCTATTAGACTTTTTAAAAATTTATGAACCTATTAGACAAATATGGAAAGTATAAAGATCTATATAAAATTCAAAGATCTATTATAAATGATTTTAAAGCTGGACATAACTTATATTTTAACCCATTTAATATCAAAATATATTAACTAGAACTTATATTTTAACCATTTAATATCAAAATATATAAACTAAATATGATCCATATGTTCAAAATTATTTTTATACCTTTAAAAAAAAAATTATACAGCCTCTCCAAAAAGTTTTATATCCACCAGGTCCCATATATTTTAACATTATTCTATTATATTCTTTATATCGATGAATGTTAAAATTAACCGTTTATAAGCTTACCAGACATGCGAGTTGTCAAAAATTTAGAAAAGTTGACATTTATGCAAACCTCTTAGAACTTTGGAAAAGAAACTAGAAAATTTTCTCTTTTAATAACCTAATTCCTCTTTTAATTTTATATTGGTTCAAGATAAGTTTATCAYTAGTCAAAATTAGGAGTATTATTGAAGAATGATAAAACTTAATGGATTAAAWTGAAACTTTTTTAACCCATAAAGACTAAATTAAAAACAAACAAACGAGCAGCAATTGACATATATATCCAACCAATTGTGAGTTCGACCCKCTCCTGTGCTTAGAAAAAAAAAATAAAACAAAACAAAAAAATGTTAGGGACTAGAAAGAAAAATTACCCCTTCATTAAACGAGCGAAATTACTGACTTTTAAGTTTACCAATTTTCAACATCAGTATTTATATGCTTTAGTTGGCAGAATGTTCTTCTAACTCTCAAGTTCTTTTAAGAGGATTAATAATATTATTCAGTTTTAGCCAGTTACTTTGTGCGTCTTTACCCTTCATTGTTTATTTGTCACTCGCAGCCCTAGGAGCAATCTTTTCGGCCACAGATAGTGTTTGCACGTTGCAGGTAAATCTTGATTCCATTGGAATATATGCCACTTAACTATGTAACAAAATTCCTTATCCAAAAAAAAAAAAAAACTATGCACCAAAATTTGCTAATTTTGCTTCTAACGATGCAGGTGCTTGATCGGGATGAGACTCCTTTTCTGTATAGTCTAGTCTTTGGTGAAGGCGTTGTTAATGATGCTACCTCCATTGTACTTTTCAAAGCAATCCAGAGGTTTGACCTCTCCCACATCACCTCAACCAATGCTTTTGAGCTTCTTGGAAGTTTTCTCTATTTATTCTTCGCAAGCAGCTCGTTGGGAGTATTGGTGAGTCTCCTCTCGAAATATGTTTTGAGGGAACATGTTCAAACTATGGTGGTAGTCTTGCTAGAATTTAAAATCTTGTTAGTTTTTTTGGCAACTAAATGCAGTAAGATTATATGGCTGCTCAGGGACTAGTTGAGACGTGTGATATTAAAAAAAAAAAAAGAATCTTTAAGTTAGAATCTATTTGGTGACCCATTGAGAAATGTGTGACATGTGGGAACGAGAATAGTACAGAACTCTACTAAAATCTTAAGAAAGTGAACATTCAAAAATTACAAATATCTAATGGGGTTTGGGAAGATATGGGGCCTGGGAATATACTTGAACTAAGGTGGCTAGTTACCTAAGATTTAAGACACATTTTTTTATATTTTATAGAGTTTGAGACTCATTTTTTGTTATTTTCCAGATCCAATATAGTAATTCCTTTCTTTAACATACAGGTTGGGTTGGCCAGTGCATTCATCATAAAGAAACTATACTTTGGCAGGCAAGAACAATTTGTTTTTTGGTTTTCTCAATCACCAGTTTTTTGAATTTATATTATTCTTATCCTCCCTCTGTTCATTAAGTTCATTTCTTATACTTAAAGTGTTCCATCAAACATTTATCATGGATAGAAATAATTTTATTATAAAACTTTGAATTAGCGGAATTGCTGATGAACTTTCTTATTTTGGAGTAGGGTAAATTGAAGTGGATTGCTATACTGTAAGTTTTATTTCTAAATGACAACTTATCGATCAGAAGTTCAGAACCTACTGTGACTTAGTGTTCCTGCTATATTGTTGGAACATGTATGTTATTTTATTTTGCAGAAAGAATACTTTCTAGGTGAGCGATGGTTTGGGATTGTGTCACTATCCTTTTAACACTTTTTGTAATTATTATTGGTTACAGTTCCACAGAACAATTTTGTTTTATTTAAATAAAGAACAATACTTAAGTACTAACTGATTAGCAATCATCTCTTACTAACTCCTATTAAATTTTGACAGCTAGGAGAGAGAGACGTAGAAAAATGGATATTTTGCTGTTTTTCGAATTTTAAGCTGTCAAATTTTGTGTGAGATAGGTGCTAAGATCAGCAGCTAAGTATTATTTTTCTTAAATAAATGGTTAGTTTGGCAGAGTTACACGTAAGATTATTAACTCGGAAACTAAAATCTTAAACGAATGGTAAAAGGTTAACACAAACATTATGCTGTAGTCAACCACTATGGGTTCCCCTAGTAGTTTTATTGTGCAAAAGTAAAAAGTCGTAGAAGGAATGAGTTCAAACCATGATAGTCATCTACCTAGGATTTAAAATCCTATGAATTTCTTAGCAACTAAATATCGTAACATCTAGTAGTTGTCCTGTGAGATTAATTGAGATGCGTGCAAGCTAGCTCGAAAACTCATAGATATAAAAAAGCAACCATTATATTGTAATCCATACAAATGAAGCTGACAAGTATGCATCATTACATTTTACATACAGTTGGGAAGTCCGTTTGCTCTGTTCTTACCTTTGTTTTTTAAAATTTCAGGCACTCGACTGATCGTGAGGTTGCCTTGATGATTTTAATGCCTTACCTTTCCTATATGATTGCTGAAGTAAGACTTAAAAAATATGAACTATTGATGCAAAATGCCTATCAATTTTAATTCAAATCATATTTGAATTCGCCTAACTTGTGATGATGGTTGCAATTTGCTATCTATTGCAGTTGTGCAATCTTAGTGGTATTCTTACCGTGTTCTTTTGTGGGATTGTCATGTCTCATTATACGTGGCATAATGTGACTGAAAGTTCAAGAGTTACCACCAAGTATGCTAATTCTTTCAATGGTCTCTTTGGATACCTCTTTTTCATAAGAATGTATTTGAAAGTTGTCAAGTACTGATATAATTTTTTTTTTCATTCCATTGTTTTCTTTATTAATCCTTGTAGGCATGCTTTTGCAACATTCTCATATGTTTCAGAGATTTTCATCTTCTCATATGTTGGTATGGATGCTTTGGATATTGAGAAGTGGAGAATTGTTCGCCAAAGGTGACATTTGGTTTTGTCAATTTGTAGTAGTGATGCTACTAATCATAAATTCGCTATTCTTACACGTGTTAATGAATAGTTCATTCATAGGATCATCATAATTAAATTTACCCTTACCTATTTTAAGGTTATAACTTAAGCTTATGACTTCAATGGTGATTTAATAAGTTTTTCAAGAAAATGGTCTTCTGTTCAAACCTTGATTAATATTGATGGTCACTTGTTGAGTACTGTGCTAATTTCCAAGCTCCCAAGTGAAGGGAGTGTTAAAAATGTGAATATAAGATTAAACTTACCGTAATGTATTTCCTTAAGCTTACGGTTTCAACACTAACATTGAATGTTGAAGTTGTCAACCATGTATCTTTTGAATATTGTGAACATATGCACATGTAAATTATGCCACACACGGTGTTTCTCTGTCTGCATTTATTTATTACATAATCTGTTGGCTTTTGACAGGCTTTGGATATTGGCTCGAGTGAGTCTGGTACTGCTAGGTTTAGTCCTTGTTGCAAGAGCAGCTTTTGTATTTCCACTCTCTTTTATATCCAACTTGACTAGAAAGTCTGAGAGTGCCAAAATTGGGTTTAAGCAGCAGGTAATTATATTTTGGTTAAATTACAAGTTTGGTTTCTAAACCTCAATGGTTWTGTTGATAACTCCTATTCTTTAAAAAGCTTTTAATTTCATTATACTTTCAATTTAGTATCTAATAGGTGATTGTGATTAGTTTTGTTAGTCTAATGCTTATTAAGTGACAGAGTTAATGTAGTGTGGGAACTTATTAGACACAAAATTAAAAGTTTAAGAACGTGTTAGATACTAAACATTTTARACTACAAGAACTAGATAGACACAGTTTGAAAGTTCAGGAACTTATTAGAAACTTTTTAAAGTACGAAGATTTATTAGACACAAACTTAGAAGTTTGAAGACCAATCTTTTAATTTGRCCCTATGTTATCTAACTGTTTTGAGTAGTTTCTTGTTACTTATGGGCAATATTCCTATCAGGTTACAATTTGGTGGGCTGGGCTTATGAGAGGTGCTGTGTCACTGGCACTTGCTTACAATCAGGTACTGTAGTGGCAATTATGTCAGCCTCTTTGATGCATTGGAATTTTTTTGCCTAACTAGTAACTATGAAAGGACTCATGCTAGATCTTATCTGCATATCATGAAGAACACCTATTGCTGCTCACCTAGGAAAAACATTAATGGTTCCTAATAGGCCTCGGAAATTGAAATTAGATAAATTTACTTAGATTGCTTACTATTCAAAGATTGTCAATAGATCAATTCGTTTTTAACAAGGAAGCACAGACTGAAGACATAGATACGGGGACACAGTATTTTATGAAAGTATAGGATATGGACATGACAAGAACATGTATGTTAAAATTTACTTGTCTTTAATATACTAGAAGGAAATTTTAAGTCAATAAGCATATGCGAAACGTACATAATTATTGTCAAACTCGTATTCAATTTGTACAACTAGAATTTGACGTATGTTTATTGTGTTAACAAGTGTTTGTCATGTGTCTCACAAGTGTCAGATGTCTAAAATGAACATGTGACTCAAAATAAAGTGTCTGTGTCCGTTCATCATTAGTTTTATATATAACATGATAGAAATTACCTTCTTGTATTTTTATAATGTGGGTAACAAATTTAAACATCACAATTATGCAGCAAGTCGGGAAAGATGCTATTTTTGATACAACACTTAGTTGATCTTTATAAATTACTCTGATAAGTCCCTGTCAACACGAGATTCTTGGGAAAAGAGACATGAAGGGCAGAAGGGTAAAACTAGAAGGGGTTGTTTTAGTTGGGTATATTTGGTTAGGAACAGAAAGTTGTGGCAGGAAAGAGGGTGCAGGGGGAATAAATTGTACTTGGAGCCAAGAAAAATGGTTAATGATTGGGTAGAGAAATTMTAAGATAGATTGGCTTGAGGGGGGAGTTTGGGAAGACTCGAATTTACTTCCATATTATTACCCTTTTATGAGTCAATGAAAAACTCTTCCCTTGTTCAAGTTCCTACCAAGTAATATCAAAACAACACATAACCACCCAGACTAAGCCAGTGGTCATTGGCTTCAACAGAAAAAGTAAGGTCTTGGAGAGAATGAGTTCAAACTATGATTGACTACCTACTTATTCCTGCAAGTTTCATTGTGAGATACTCGAATAATACATGATTGAGATTGGTAGCAAGCAAGGAAAAAAAGGCAAGTTTTCTTGACAATCTAATTGAGTAGTACTAATATATTTTCATATATCTTATGTGCAAGCAATCCCTCATATGCTGGAATTGCTTTACCTTGTATTAAGCTGTGTGTGGACACTTTCAAAAGTAGGGACTTTTTGTGATTAAGGATGTGTTTTGTCATATTTGCAGTTCGCAAATTCAGGCCACACGCAACTGCAAGGAAATGCGATCATGATTACTAGCACAATCACAATTGTTCTCTTTACTAATGTGGTAAGAGAAATGATGTACAAAGTTCAGATATTAACACACCGTTGTTTTGATTGCTTCACTTAATCTTAACCATGATAGCAAACATACACACACAACACTGCATGATGACATGAACGACATTTATCATCTAGTTTTCTATAACGGCATCTATACATCTAAATCTCCTACTAATTCCTCCAAGATAATCATAAGCATTGATGCTCCTCTGAATTTCGACATATTTTAGTTCAAACAAGAGTGGGTTGGATTGAAACCTCCCGCCTTTAAAGAGATTACTTAGTGTCTTAACCAGTTGAACGATGATAAGTTCATTCTTCGTGACTTTTTTCCTTGTTGATGGTATTGCTAGCTATTGTGGAGGCTGTGATTATAATGAAATTGCAGTATTTGGTGGTGAAACCTTGACTTTTGCATAATCCATATGGGTCTGAGTTCATTCACCCTTTCTCACTCATTTGGTTGAAGCAATGAAATAACGCTGTAGTTCAGTGTATTACAGTGTGATAGAAACCAAAAAACCAATATGATATTGAAAGACAAAAGAACTACAATAACTTCCAAGTAATTAGAGTGCACTCAAGCCTAAATCCGCTAAACTAATACTTGCCTACATTCCCCTCCCACCCCTACATTTACAATCAACTCCTCGTATAATTATTAGTATGTCCTTACTATCCCTAATAATATTTCCAACATAAAATTAGTTGTGAAGTCCTATTCAATTCTTACACCATCAAATTTGCATATTTTCATCTCATATACCTGTGCTCGAAGGATTTCTAATGTGAATAGTCTTAGGAATGGTTTTTTTACTTCTTGATGTTATATTTTTTACAGGTATTTGGGCTGTTAACTAAGCCTATTGTAAGATGCATGCTTCCACCTAGTCATAGACAGATAGATGGTACAATGGAAGCAGAATCTCCACCGAAGTCGCTTGTTCATCCTCTTTTGCACAACGATGAGGATCCCGGGTCCGATGCTGGAGGATCGAACATTCCCCGTCCACCCAGCCTACGTATGCTGTTGACAACTCCAACTCGTTCGGTCCATTACTATTGGCGAATGCTCGATGATCGATACATGCGTCCTATTTTCGGTGGAAGAGGTTTTGTACCTTTCATCCCTGGTTCACCAACTTAAATGTATATCCACTGATGGCAGATTCTATAGAAAAAAACATGAAATATGATGTAATCTAGCTGTTCTTAGAATAACGAGAGAAAAAGGAAAGCTATAGAGTATCACAACTTGAAGATGGATCAAAGTTAGTGTGTATATTGTTTATAGGACAGTGGAAGGGGATGCTGATATTGCAAGAACAAGAGAAAAAAAGGAGTATCATAATTAGAAGATGGGTAAAAATTTGTGTGTATAAGGTTTATAGGACAATATAATGCAGTGATGAGTATAATTTGTTTGCTTGTTTTTTTTTTTTTTTTGGATAAAAGATTAGTATAATTCGTTTATACACATTATCCACCTATTGTAGATATTGAAGTTAGTGTAGTTCAATTGCCTAAATTACTGCTTGTTTAACTTTTTTTTGGAGATATGATTCCCAATATCGATAATTGGTACCAGTCAAAATCGTTAGAGCGGGTCGGACTTTTGTTGATGGACGGGTTGGGATTCATGCCTACATGTTCAAATATATTGACAAACAATAATTATTGTAATATTTTAATAGATTTCCCGTTAGATGACTTAATTAAAGATTTTTAATACATTAAGGTGTTGTATACTAAAATGAAAATCAACTGGGATTAAAATATCTTTTGTATAATATTATTTACTATAAATTTTATGGAATAGAGATCATAAATTAGTTGAAGTTAGTTTATTATAATTGTCTATAATTTGARTAGGAATAAAAATATATGACCATTACTATAATACATCTCTCTTTATTTCTAGCTAGTTACAAATTAATCAACAAAAAATGCTAATATTATTAATTAAAGTAATRAAATATTTTAGTTTATTTTATTAATAGTAAATAYTTTTTATTATAAAATTTTATTTAATATTAACAAATAAATAAATTATTAAAATAAAATTATATCAACTAAATTAGGAATTATGGAATGATTATGTGGTTCAACCAATTAATTTCATTAATTTATTAACATATACGTTATAAATATTCTTAATTTATTAACATGTATCGTTATAGTTTGTGTATTAATTATTATTTTACAGTATTACATAATTTATAATATATTATATTAATCTGAAATATAATATTTATTAAATATATTTTTTTAATGTAATTTTGCATTTAAAAAGGTCCAAAATTCAAAATATGAAATTCCACTCTTTCCAAAAAACAGTATTCCAATTGTATACCAAATACACCCTAATTAATTGATGGTATTCATCTCAAGCTTACTCCAATCTTCCTCACTACTTTGGTGCTTTTACGTGATCCAATTGAAAATATTCCCTAAAAAATTACTGTTGGACGGTGGAAATGACAATTGGAGGCTTGTCATCCGTGAGATTCTGGCTCTTGCAAATGATCGTTGGAGACTGGTATTTTTTTAGTCTATTAGGTAACATTCTCGTTGTGACCCAACATTCGTAGACTGCCAACATCCGTAAACTAAGAATAATAAACAATATTTTATTATTGTTTTGGAGTAAATTGGAAACACTGTTTTTTTAATAAATTTTCTATATGATAATATTTTTACAGATATGAAAAATAAATTAAATAATTAGATTTTTAATAAAATTGAACCTGAGAAACAGTGTCATCAAATAGGCCCTTATAAATTTGAGGGTCTCTGGAATCGCGATATAATTAAAATTACATTTCTAGTCCATATATTCAATATTAATTCCAAATATATATTTTTTAAACTTTTAATTATATATATATATAGACACACTATCACTGTCTTACTAAAGTTGATTAAAAAGTTTCTCAAATGGGTAAGAATAAAATTTCGAACATTACCCAAACGATCATATTTTAGTGATAATTGACACGTATGTTCAATCAAGAGTTTGTGAGTTGGATCCCACACTCCTACATATGTACTAGAAAAACTAAAATAAAATTATAACATTTTGTTGCATCCAATGAAACAAATCTAACCGATATTGCTAACTAAGCAAAACTTAAATTTACATCTCAATAGGTTGTTGAACTAAAAAAATTCATCACTCACAGCAATAAAACTTTTACAAATTTCAATCCAATCCAACTCGAGTATTTTTAATCCAACCCAATCCTTACGATTTGGATTGGATTGTCCGGATCACCGAATTTTTTTAACACCCCTAAATAAAAGAGGAGAAGAAACAATTGTAGACCCGAGATCGGTCTCGTTTTCTATTAATTCAGATAAATTAGTTTAGGGTAAAAATTAATACATGTCGAGGTGAAAAAAAAAAATCCCCAAGTTTTACTGCTAAGGGCACGTGTAAAAGCGTGGGACATGAGAACCAATCACAATAAAATTTTAAAATTCCCTGTCACACTCCCACTATAACAGCCGTATTCTGATCCTACGGCCATAATCTCATCGCCAAAATTTTCATTGTTTCCTTCGCATTCAAGCGGTTGATTTCTCTTCAGACTTTTCGCGGTCTTTCAAAACTCCCTCTCTCAGTTTTTAATATTCTTTATGCTCAGAGTTTTCTTGCTGAACAAATCCGAGGTAATTAGATTCTGCTTTCTCCTTTTCATTTCCGCTTGATTTTCCTTTTTCTTACAGAATTTGCGGTCTTGTGTTCGTCATTTCTGTGTCTGTGGTGATTGCAACTGAGAAATAATCTCTGAATCTTATGCTTCAAGATTGATTGATTCATTGATGATATAATTTTGCATGTTTGTTTGATTTGATTGTCCAGAAGTTCTTTTGTTGTTAGTGTGCGTATGGTAGCTGAAAAAAGTAAAGTGAAAGTAAAGTAGTAGACTCTTAGGGGCTAAGTAATCTCCCTATGGTCTTTGAATTTCGTGTGTGAACGCAGAAGAACGAGTGCGGAGTTCGTAGAAAATTATTCTAGGCTCTTACAATGGATTCGCGAGGCGTTTTCCCTTTATTTCATTGTCTTATTTTATCACCTTTAAAAAAAAAAAACTATATGTGTTTTAATTAAGGCGGCTTGGGGTTTCTGGCTTAGAGGTCTCAAATTCGAAGAATTTGGTGAGCTTAATACCAAAAACTCTTGATGTCTCCCCGGTCCAGGCATTGGGACAGRCGCGGGTACCTTGACATAGGGGATCAAAGCTCCAACTCCCAATTCTAAAAAAATAATAATAATAAAATAATAATAAAATAAAAAGGATAATTGAAAAATAATGATCTCATGCTGATTTTTTTGTAAAATCAGTGGGAGGATAATGGTTTACTCTATAGTTCTTAGAACTATAGGAGATTTATTTTAACTCTCTTATGGTTCTTTGGATGTTTCATACAATTTACTTTCATTTTAGTTTTTTGCAGTGAGCATTAAGGTTGCAGTACCCGAGGTTTAGATAACTTCATGGATTCATTTTTAGGAAAAGCTGTGATGAAATTGGCTTCGAAAGAAGACCCTGAAGAGTATGCTATCGCATTATTTGTGTTACTTCTCTGTGCTTGTATTGTAACTGGACATCTTCTCGAGAGAATTCGTTGGATGAATGATTCAGTTAATGCCATTTTCATTGTGAGTTGCATTTTAATTATTGCTATTGATATTTTCTTTTCGTTTATTTATAAATACGCACGTTCTACCTGAAAATTGCTATTTAAATTTGTTATATTAACTATCTATGTAATTGAACTCATGATATTTGTTTGTGCTTTCTGTAGGGTCTTTTCACTGGAACTCTCATCTTGTTAACAACCCAAGGCAGAAACTCTCGCATCCTAGTGTTTAGTGAAGAGCTTTTCTTCATTTATGTTCTTCCACCTATAATATTTAATGCTGGGTAAATCTTTTGGATATAAAGTGCATCTTCTATGTTACCTTACAAAAATTGTTGCATTAGTTAACTACCATGGGTTGGCCGAGTGCTCATTAGAGCCAATGAAAAAAGTAAAGAGCTTAGAGAGAATGAGTTCAAACTATGATGGTCACCTATCTAGGATTTATTATTCTACAAGTTTTCTTGGCAACTTAGTGTAGCAATGCTGGGTAGTTATCCCCAGAGATTAGTTGAGGCGCAGGTAAATTGGGTAGGACACTCATGGATATTAAAAAAACAAAAAAAAAAAAAAAGAAAAGACATTTCTGCATTGGCTGGCTTCGGCTTTGTGTGAAAGTGTTTTTGGCTGTTGGTGTTGGCTCATGATATCTTCCTTTATAGAAACATCCATGTATGATATTTGATTTGGTTGAACTAAGGGCAGTTACACATATAGCAATTTTATGCAAAATAATAGCAAATCTAGCACAAGTTAAAAAAAATTGCAAATATGATATATTTTCTAGAAAAAATCATCAACATATCACGTGATAGACTTTTATCAATGTCTATCAATTATAGATGTTCCATAGACTCTATCCATGATAGACATTGGTAGACATGTGATAGATGTCCATCACTAATAGAGATGGAAGATGTCACCCTACAAAATTGCTATATTTGCAAAATTTTATTCATTATGCTCTTGTAAATATGACAAATATTTGCCGCCCATTACAATTCCTCTAAAAACTATGGTTAAAAAGTTCAATTACAATCATGGACTAACAATTTGGTGCAACAGCATTCTTAAAATTGTATTACTTGTCACGTATTCTCTAACTTAATAATGTAAATATGTTTATAGGGTAAATTGTTAGTTTCATGTCAAATCATAATGCTGTCTTTACAAATAAGGCTTATACTGCTGCTGTATRAATAATTTCACTTACGAACTAATTTGTCTTCAGAAATCATGGAATGCCTAAAACAGGATTTTTAATTTGTGAGGAGACCTATTGTTTATGGATGTACCTTGTACTGGTATCTTTTAAGTTTCAATAATAAATTGTCTTTCATTATTCCGAGTTTTGTTTATTTATAAGATGCTGATATCTTTCCAACTTAATATGTTTCTCCTATTTCAGGTTTCAGGTGAAAAAGAAGCAGTTCTTTCGGAACTTTCTAATGATAATGTTGWTTGGTGCTGGTGGTACTGTGATCTCATTTTTCATTATATCAATAGGTACTTTCTCTGTTCCTGATCACGACATTGGATGATGCTTTCTATCAAAAAAGGACAAAATTACATGTTAATTCTTAACGCAAAGTTAGTTAATTAGCTCAGAAGTTAAAGTAAAAATTTTTCAACTCTAAAAGTATTTTATATAAATTTAAATCAAAACTTCATTACAAATATAATGAAGGGATRATCATACATTTCAATTTCAAGAAATAACATTTCACAAAGTAAGAAAAAGAGAATCCAAGGAGAACAAAGAAAAAATTGTACACCAGAATTATTGAATTTGCTATTAGTATATGCCGTCAAAGATATATCTTGAACAATCTTCAACTTCAAGGAAGGTCTTGAGGGTAATAGGTACCTTATCCATTTAACTATGCTCAAATTGACAAGTTTTCTTGAAATGTGAGATCTTGTGCAAAAGGTAAGAGTGTGAAAAAAGTACATACCCCAAAGTATTGGCACGTATTACAGTTTCTTGAACATTAATGTTCTCCAAAATTGATGAAACAGCATCATGCTTATTCAAAAGTAATGTTAAGCCCTTTGAAACAGGTTCACTYCATTTATTCAAGACATTAGATATTGGCTTCTTAGACGTGGGTGATTATTTTGGTATATTTCTAACCTTCCTTTTTAATAGTTGTGTCTAGAAACCTTGTGCATTATTCTTATTGTTATTATTTAGCTAAATATATATTTTAGTCCCTAACGTTTGATATTTTTCCAATTTAGTCTCTGATTTATAAAGTTTTAATTCAGTCCTTTATTTTTATAACATTTTTTTATTATACCATTCCCGCTAATGAATATAAATTATGTTGTGCAGTTATTTCTTTCATTTTGGTTTTTTACTTGTATGCTATTTTCATTCTTTTTTTTTTCTTCCCTATATTTGCTCTTTAGACTAGCCTTGTATTCATCATTTTCAAAATAGCAAGAATTATTTTCTTATCATCGACAGACTGACAATAAGCTTACATAACCTGGTATTTAGTAAACTGGCAGAAATTTCGGAGCGGAATGAGGCCCCTACCAAAGATGAAATTTCTGCGTCACTTAAAAATTTTCTAATTTCTCCTCCAAATTTTTATAGGTAAGTTTATCATCAACTAATTTTAACATTTACCAATTGAAAGAGTATAATTGAAAAAATGTCCAGAGTTAAAATATAATGGACTACAACTTTTTAAACAATAAAGACTAAATTGRAAAGRAAAAAAAAATCTAAACAATAGAAACTAAAACATATATTTAACTTATTATAAATCTAAACAAAACATTATAAACTAAAACATATATTTAACTTATTATTTTTTCTCATGGGATATTTTAGGTATAATTTTCTTTTTCCTTTTCCCTCTTTTTCTTTTCTTTTCTTCTCTTCTGGATGTAAACTTGTAGTTTATATTTTACCTGTTCGTTTAATGAGTAAAAATACTAATGTTTATGTTTACCATTTTGCAAAAGTCAGCATTCATATGATTTAGTTGGCAGAATGTTTGTCAACCCTCAAGTTCTTATCAGAGGATTAATAATATTATTCAGTTTAAGCCAGTTACTCTGTTCTATTTGACAACTTTTCGATGCGTTTTGACCCTTCATTGTTTAATTTGTCACTCACAGCCCTTGGAGCAATCTTATCGGCCACAGATAGTGTTTGCACCTTGCAGGTAAATCTTGATTTCTGTGGAATATATGTCACTTAACTATGTACCAAAATTTGCTAATTTYGATTCTAATGCTGCAGGTGCTTGACCAGGATGAGACTCCTTTTCTGTATAGTTTAGTCTTTGGTGAAGGCGTGGTTAATGATGCTACCTCTGTTGTACTTTTCAAAGCAATCCAGAGGTTTGACCTCTCTCACATCACCGCAACCAATGCCATTCAGCTTCTAGGAAGTTTTCTCTATTTATTCTCGACGAGCACCTTGCTAGGAGTATTGGTGAGTCTCTCTCCGCATATGTTTTGTCCTATCCTGGTGAGAAAGTCAACCACTATGGGTTGGTCTTCTAGTCATTATGGTTGGTGAAAAAGTAAAGGGGTTCAGAGAGAATGATTTCAAATCATGTTGGCCACCTTTCTAGAATTTAAAATACTACGAGTTTCCTTGGTAATCAAATGTGGTAGAGTTAGACARCTATCTTGTGAGATTAGTTGAGATGTGTACAAATCGGTCCATACACTCGCGAATATAAAAAAAATAGTAGACTCTAAGTCAAAGTCTATTTGATTACCTATTGAGAAATGTGTTTGAAATCACGTGACATGTGTGAATGATAATAGTATTGAAACTCTACTAGAAACTGAAGAAGGCGAGGGTGCAAGATTTACAAATATCTAATGAGTTTCAAGTAGATTTGGGACTGGGAATGAGTTCATATCATGGTGTCCACYTACTTAGAATTTAAAATTCTACGAGTTTTGTTAGCAACCATATGTAGCATCATTAGATGATTGTTTCATGAGATTGGTCGAAGTGCTTGCAAGCTGGYATGGACAYTCATAGATATTAAAAGAAATAGTGTCAAAATCTATTTTCTCACCTATTGAGAAATGCATTTAAAATGATCTAAACTTGGGTGAATGAGGGGAAGTGAAGGTGCAAAAACTTCAAATGTCTCATGGTTTTTTTCTTCTTCTTCTCTTTCTCTCTCTTTTCGTGAAGAYAAAGGGTTGTTTGGGTGTGAGAAAAATGTTTTGCAAACTAATTTTGCAATGAGAGATTGTAAAAGATAGGTTTCATGGGAATTTCTCACTTAAAGTTGTTAGGTTGTATTACCATTTGGTTTTTGGTTCTCAGGAAGTTTGAGACTCATTTTGTATATATTTTCCAAATCCATATAGTAATTTCTTACTTTAATATACAGGTTGGGTTGTCCAGTGCATACATCATGAAAAAACTGTACTTTGGCAGGCAAGAAGAATTTGGTTTTCTGTTTTCTCAATTACTAATTGTTTTCTAAAATTATGTTGAACAGTTATTTCTTTGTATTTATTTCCTTATTTGTAATTGTTTTCTATTTGGTAATTGTTTSCTTGTGTGTTATTTTCCTTCCTCGGAATTAGATAAGATCTCAAAGGAATGGTAGAAGGCAAACAGAATCATTATATTGTAGTCAACCACTTTGGTTGGTCTAGTGGTCATTGGATCCTAGTGCAAAAGTAAAAGGGCCAAGTGGAAATGACTTCAATCATGGCGGCTATTACAATAATTTAAAATTCTATGAATTTTCTTGACAACCAAATGTTGTAGGGTCTAGTAGTGGTCTTGTAAAATTAGTTGAGGTATGCATAAGTTAGCTAAAAACTCGGATGTAAAAAACTATTTTAGTCCACGTAATGTACACATAAGTTAGACATTTCCACTTAATGGTCCACGTAATGGTCTTACATTTTTTGTTAAAATTTCAGGCACTCGACTAATCGGGAGGTTGCTTTGATGATTTTAATGCCTTACCTTTCATATATGACTGCTGAAGTAAGACTTTGATCATATAAACTATTGAGTCAAAATGCATATCAATTTTAATTCAAATTGTATTTTAATTTTGCTAACTTGTGATGATGGTTGCAATTGCCTATTTATTGCAGTTGTGCAATTTTAGTGGTATTCTTACCATGTTCTTTTGTGGGATTGTCATGTCTCATTACACTTGGCATAATGTGACTGAAAGTTCAAGAGTGATCACCAAGTATGTTAGTTCTTTCTATGGTCTCATTGGAACTTCTTTTTCGTAGTGCGATGCATTTGATAATTTGTAAGTACTGATCATAATTTTTGGTTATCGATTCTTGTAGGCATACTTTTGCAACATTCTCATTTGTTTCAGAGATTTTCATCTTCTTATATGTTGGTATGGATGCCTTGGATATTGAGAAGTGGAGAATTGTTTGCCAAAGGTGACATGTTTAAGTTGGTTTTGTCTATTTGCAGTTGTGATGTCATTGTTCATACATCCACCATGATTGTTTCAAACCCCATGATGGCCACCTACCTTAGGAATTAGTAGTTCCTACGTGTTTCCCAACACCAAATGTTGTAGGGTCAAGCGGTTACCTCGTGAGATTAGTCGAGGTGCGCATAAGTGGGTCCGGACACTCACGGATATCAACAAAAAAAAAGTGTTAGTAAACTTGATTGGATCATAGAAGGGTCGTCTAAATATTAAAGAATATGAATGTAAGATTAAATATATTGTAACCTATTAATTTCTAGCGGTGATTTAACATGATATTAGRGCAGGAGGTCATGTGTTCCAACCTCTATAGTGTTATTTTCTCTTCTGATTAATATTGTAGTGACAAGTGATGAGAGTGTTAAAAATATGAATATAAGATCAAATCCATTATAATMTATTGGCCTAAGTTTATGGTTTCAATGGTGATTTAACATTAACGTCAACCATGTATCTTTTTGAATTTCTGGACATAGGCACATGTAATTTATGCAACACACCGTGTTTATCTGCATTTATTTATTACATAATCTGTTGCCTATTGACAGGCTTCGGGTATCGGCTGGAGTGAGTCTAATCATGCTAGGTCTAGTCCTTGTTGCGAGAGCAGCTTTTGTATTCCCACTATCTTTTCTATCTAACTTGACTATGAAGTCTCAGAGTGACAAAATTGGGTTTAAGCAGCAGGTAAGTATATTTTGGTTATCATACAAGTTTGGTCCCTAAACCTTAATGAATCCTAGCATTTTAAAAAGTTTTTAATAGCTTATTGAGCTTTTAATTTTGCGTCTAATAGTTCATTGTCATTAACCCTATTAGTTTAATGCTTACACCACCAAATATCTAAACTCGTCCAAAATCAACCCGTCACGTAATCCTTAAATGATACAGTTGTACTATATAAGCTATTACAAGCATTAAGGTGGTAGAGTTCAGGTAGGAATCTATTAGACAACCTATTAGAAACTCTTTAAACTTCATGGACTAGATAGACACAACATTCCAAGTTCAAAAATTTATTTAAAAATGTATAGGGACTCATTAGACRTGACCTTGAAAGTTTAAGGACAAAATTTGTAATTTAACCTTATATTTTATAATGTTATGTACCTGTTTCGAGTATTTGCTCATTACTTATGGGCAATTCCTCGCAGGTTACCATTTGGTGGGCTGGTCTCATGAGAGGTGCTGTATCAGTGGCACTTGCTTATAGTCAGGTACTATTTTGGCAATTATCATCCTCATTACTGTAGACATCTTACAATTTTACTGCCTAACTGTGAAACGACTCATGCTAGATCTTATCAGCATACCATAAAGGACACTTATTGCTAATTGGCCWCAGGCAAAATATTTATGGTTCCTAGCTGGCCTTGGAAAGCAGAATTAAATCATTTTAATTAGATTGTTTACAGTTCAAAGTTGGTCAAATAGGCCAATTTGTTTTTGTACAAAGAAGCCCAACATAAAGACACAGTGACATGTTATTTTATGAAAATTTAGGACATGGACACGACAATGATACGTTTAGTATAATATATAGTTTTTCAAAAAAAGTATATCAATTTTATACTATAAGGAAATTTAAATTCAGTCATCTTACCCATTTATGTGCTCAAAAAACAAGTTTGATATATTTCTCTCTTAAAATTTATTATTTTTGTCCTATATTACCATTTATGTTTATTAATTATACTTAAAAGTGCTCGACGTGTACCTAAGAAGTGTAAGACTTGTATTCAATTTGTACATCTAGTATTTTTTTTTTATTTAATATCCGTGATTGTCCGGACCARCTTATGCGCATCTCGGTTAATCTCACGGGACAATTGTCTGACCCTAATGCATTTGATTGCCAAGGAAATTTGTAGGATATTAAATCCTAGGTAGGTGGCCATTACGGTTTGAACTAATTCCCTCAAAGTCCTTTACTATTTATGTTGGCCCTTAACCACTAGACCAACTTGTGATTGTGATGGTTACAGATAGTATTCGACATGTGTTTGTTGTGCTAATAGGTGTTGATCATGTGTCCAATTAAGTGYCGGATGTTTAAGATCGACCCATTATCCAAATTGAAGTGTCAGTATCTTGGTTTTATATATAGCAGGATGGAAATTACTTTATTATATTCTTATAATGCGGGTAACAACTTTAAACATTACAACTCTGCAGCAAGTTAGGGAAAATGTGTTGGGAAATTAAGCGCTCCTAACAATTTCCCCTTCCACAATAATCTCCAATTATCTAAGTCAATCACACAACACAAAGATAAATATAGGGAAAGCAATAAATGACACAATAATTTATACTGGTTTACCCCCATAGTTTATGGGCTATGTTCAGTCTTCCGCTTAGATGCGGGTTCTACTAATAATGAGATTTGATACAAGCATTCAAATATCTCATCCACGGATATTCACCCTCTAGAAGGCCGAACAAAAGCCCTCTAGCTTCAAGTATTATAACACACTATACTTAGGTACATGAATGAAAACTCACAATAGAATCAAGATTTAAGTACCYCGAATATGTTGATCTTGATATGCCCCAACGCTTCTGCCAATACCCCGAGCCTCTGCCTCAAAACTGCTACAAATTTTCTATAAAAACGGCTCTAATTTTGGCTGGGAAACCCTAAAACCTGAAACTGCATATTTATAAACATCAATACAGCGCCATGGCGCTGCAGACTGAAAAAGTATGCATGTGCCTCAGCGGGACAACGCCGTGGTGTTGTCTCCCAGCGCATCGGCGTTGCCTCCTCGACCATTCTAGCTTGCAGCTCCACTTCACCTGTTTTTCATTGCTTCTTCATCCCGACTCGCCCCTAACTCGTTCTAACGTCGATTTCGCTCCACCAATCCCAAMAAAATGCTATTATTGATATAACAAGTAGTTGATCTCTATGAATCAAGTTGCAGTCATATACACGTTCTTTGCAGATGAGACAAGAGGGGTAGAAGGGTAAAATGAGAAGGGGTTGTTTAGTTGGGTAAATCTGTGGTTGGAACGAGGGTGCAGGGGAACAAATTGTACTTGGAACAAGGGGTGTTCATGGTTCGACTTGGTTTTGGAGCAAATTTTATTAGAAAAATAAAAATGCAAAACCGCGCCGAACCAAAATGGACTGAAAACTGTTTCGAACCGAACTGCAAACCGACGGTTTTTGTCAATTTGGTTTTGTGGTTTGACGAGCATGAGGTGCACTGCAGACTACTGTCTACCAAATGCAAGTTTGCTTTGTGATAGGGGAAATCAAATCTTCTGACGTCGTTAGAGTGGAGGAACTTATGTGGGTTGTCTCCGACATTGACCATGGCACGGGTAGTCAAGATTTGTTGACGTCATCGAAGCAGTTGTTTTGGCTACAGTTGAGGGAAGAAGAAGATGATTATGTGAGGAATCAGGTGTTTTGTGTGTGTAGGAGTGAGAGTATGTGAGGAGAGAGAGAGTGTGGATGAAGCCTTTGACTCGCTCATTTTTTAGATTTTTTTTAAAAATTATCACACTCAATTACCATCGTAGATTATAGTCAGCGAGTCAGCGTAATGTCTGTTGGGTTTGTAAGGTGATTGCAAATAAAGTCTCACATTGGCTAGGGAAGAATGATCATGAGTATATAAGATAGGACAATTATCTCCATTAGTGTGAGGCTTTTTGGATGAAACCAAAAACAAAGCCGTGAGAGCTATGCCCAAAGCGGACAATATCATACTATTGTGGAGATACTCGGGGTACTTAGGGTGCCGTTGTCCTTAACAATGTCAAYGGACAACAATGGTAAAGCAAAAATAGTTTTTTAAAATTAAAACATATGTATACACAATACGGGTTGGATTTGGTTTTTTAACTCCAAACTGAAACCAAACCAAATATTTCGGTTTTTAAAATATTATAGACCTAATTGGACCACAAACCGATTAAACTGACAAATCAATTTGATCGGACTCGATTTTGTCAGTTTTGTCAGTTTTACTTCGTTGTTGTTACCATTTTTGAGTCAACGAAAAGCTATTCTCCAGTTCCTATCAAGTGATATTAGATCCGCACATAATCAYCTGGTCATGAGGGCCAACGAAAAACGTAAAAACTTTAGAGAGAATGKCTTCAAACCATGGTCACCTAGGACTCAACTTGTGGYAGGGTTAGACGATTGTCGGAAAAAAGGGAAAAAAAGCACATGATTGGGAATGGTAGCAAGCAGGGGGAAAAAAAAKAAAAAGAAAAAGAGGGAGTCAAGGATAAGTTGTTGGAGAAAATTCATCTGTGGTGCAAAGGGTGTTGGAAGGAAAACAAACCAATGTAAGAAAGGAATTGGCAAAAGCAATGGAGCATAACAGAGAGGTGCTAAGACTAAGGACTATGGAGGAAGATGGAGGGAATGATTAGATCATGGGAGGTGATCCAACCAAATGTGCCATAGGGAAATGGAAAATGAAACAGCTACCTGAATTGAGATGCTAGATGGATCTCTGTAAGGTGGCATGATACTTAAAACTGAATAAATGGCCCACTGTTCACATTTTTGTTTTGTTTTGTTTTTGTTTAATGTTGAATCTGTGTAATTATAATCTGGTTGAATGTTACTAATATGAAAATCTATTTTCTATTCAAATATATATATATGAGAATCTATTTTGTACCAGCAATCCTTCATAAGACTGGAATTTCTTTACATACTATAAGTTGCGGGTACTTTCAGAATTAGGGATTTTTTGTGATTGAGGTTGTGTTTCATCATATTTGCAGTTTGCGTCATCAGGGCACACGCAATTGAAAGGGAATGCGATCATGATTACTAGCACAATCACAGTTGTTCTCTTTACTAATGTGGTAAGGGAAACACACCGTGTTTGGATTGCTTCACTTAATCTTAACCATGATAGTAAACATACACACATGACACTACATAAGGACATGACCAACATTTAGCATCTATTTTTGCATAATGGTGTCGATTCKTTGCATTCTCCTACCTAGTTCCTCTGAATTTTGACATTTTTCTTGAGTTCAAAAGGGGTGGGTGAGGGATTTGAACCTCTCACCTTAAAGATATTACTTGATGTCTTAACTAATTGGGCTCTGTTCAAATATGCCATTTGAATTTTGACATTGAGAACCCGACTTTTCTTGGTTGATGGTATTGCTTGCTATGTATTATGGAGACTGGTTACAACAGATTCACAGTACTTTTTCACCCTTTCTCGCTCATTTGGTTTCAAGCAATGAAATAATGTTGTAGAATATGATAAAAACCGAAAAACTGATGATATTGGACGATAAAAGATAAAATARTTGCAATAACTCCCAAGTAATTCAAGGTACCTAGAATGTGCCTTGACTATCTTAATAATATTTCTAACAATTATCTCTATTGGCATTCCTAATCGAGTAATTGTTATTGCGTTACCTCTAATTGAAGAATGCAATTCTTCAAGTTTCCTCTTGTTTCTGCCATCGTCGGTTTGTAGACATTAGTTGTGCAGTCCTATTCAATTCTTCTATCATCAAATTTGCATGGTGTCTTATCTTCATGGACCCTCTCGAAGGATTTCTAATGTGAAGAGTCTCAGGAATGGTTTTTTATTTCTTGGTGTTACATTTGTTTCAGGTATTTGGGCTGTTAACCAAGCCTATTGTAAGGTACATGCTTTCGCTGAATAATAGACAGATTCATGGTACAATGGTAGCAGATTCTCCTCTGAAATCGCTGAATGATCCTCTTTTGCCCGACCGGGAAGATCCCGAACCCGAAGCTGGAGGATCGAACATTCCCCGTCCACCCAGCCTACGGATGATGTTTACATCTCCAACTCATTCTGTCCATTATTATTGGCGGATGTTCGATGATCGATACATGCGTCCTGTTTTCGGTGGAAGAGGTTTTGTACCTTTCATCCCTGGTTCACCAACTGAAAAGTATATCCACTAATGGTAGATTCTATAGAAACACATGAAAAATTATGTAATCTAGCTACTCTTAGAAATAACAAGAGAAAAAGGAAGCTGTAGAGTATCAAAATTTGAAGATGGATGAAAATTAGTGTGCTATATTGTTCATAGGACAGTGAAAGAACAAGAGAAAAATGGAAGAGTACCATATACTTAGAAGATGGGTAAAAAATAGTGTGTATAAGGTTTATAAGATAGTGTAATGCTGTTGTTCGTGTAATTTGTTGGTATCCATTATCCACTTTTTCTTCCCATTGAAGTTATTATGTATTTTAATGCATAAATTATTACTTATTTACTTCATGTGGAAATAGTATTCCCAAATCATTACACTATGAAAGGAAGTGTATTCAGAATTGTTTCAAACGTGAGGGGCCGTTTGTGGCTAATAAGTCTGGTCTTTAAAAATTTAAAAATTTATTAGACATTTATTTATTATTATTATTTTTAAAGTTAATGACCTTGTGAGACATAAAATTAAAAGATGAAGACCTATTAGATAGGAAACTTATTAAATATGATATTGATGGCTGTAATTTAACCAATAAAACAGTTAAGGAACCAAATTTCTGTTAGGTTTCTCAAGAATTGAAAAAAGGAAAAAAAAATTGATTACAAAGTAAAGTCGAGTTGTCAAAAGCGAACTCAAAAGATTGTGAGTTCGATCTTTCACCATACATATTGTATTCGAAGTAACTTGAGTTTTCAAAAAACTAAACAAAAAAAAAATGATTATCGAAGAAGTAGCTTTCAGAAAACTGTTAGTATTTAGACTCAAAATAATTGTTTTAAATTGTAAATTTATTCAACATAAATATCCCTTATTAAATAAATAAACTCAATCCAACCATGAAATATTTGAATGTAATTGATTTGGATTACTCATTCAAAATAAATGTAATTGATTTGGATTACTCATTCAAAATATTATATGACAAAAAAAAATGCTGCTCTTTTAAACTTTTATTTATCTATTTTCTAACCTTTAATCAAGTTCAAAATTTATTTATATAGCGAAAAAATTATATTCTAAAAACTTAAAAAGTTATTGGAAAATAAATAGTATATAAATAATTATTGAATGAAATAAAATTAAAATTAAAAATATATCAATATATAATTTTATGATAAGTAAAATAAATAATTTTAACTTTAATAATAAATTTGGTTCGGTTAAGTCCAAATTTATCTTGTGTGAACCATTGAACCAATATAGCCAACAGAGTTTTGGTTTATTTGACCCAATCAAATCCAACACATAGATTGGATCCGGGTTTTCAAAGTCATGGGATTTATTTATATATTTTTTTATTTTTTTAACATTCCTGCTAGAAACGTACAAACTAAATTGTAAGGAAGTAATTATAAAAAAAAAAAGAAATTAAATAAATAAAACGAAATCGTTAAGAATTTAGAATTTTTAAATATTGAATATTTAAAGTCTAAAATACGTAAACATGAAAGTTTAGAGGATAGAGTCTGAAACAGAATTTAAATTTTTTTTTTTCACAGGACTATGATTAAATATAAATATAAATATAAATAATTTGAAAATTTTATAACATACAAAATCGTGGCCCCGCGCATTGGAGCCAAAGAAGATATCTCCGTCTCCTGCATGGAATTGCAGAATCAGATACAGAGAGCGATTAGGATTCCGTCGCCGGAGAGGAATTTTTCACTACTTCACGCCATGGACTTTATATTTCATCAGCCTTCTTCCGCCGAGAATTCTCTCAACATTCGAATTCTAGGTTTGTGTATTTTGCTTGCTAAATTTTGCCTTCAATTTGCTTCCAACATCGAGCCTTTGACCTAATGTTTACTGCCAGTTTCTTCTTAGTAATATTGGAGTAGAAAGAATCGAAGATTCTGAGTTGTGTTTACTATTGTTATTGAATTTTGCTTGTCTTGAAGTAAGATTATGGAGATTTTTGTTAGATGTTCGTACGCTGAATAGTTTCGCAATTTGAGTCGATGTGTTTGATTTTGTTTTGAAAATTCAGCGCCTGTGTTTGCTGTTTACGATCGTTCTTGCACCTTTGCCTAATTTGAAGTCAGATTTTATCGAGATTTTTTTTTAACTCAAATAAGATTTATATTAAGCTGGTTCGAGTTCACTGGTGTATGTGAAGTTTGAGAGTTAGAATTAAATATTTAAAACTTCCCTTGAACAACAACTTTACTCGAAAGATTTGAATATTTTTGCAGGCGAATTTTCAAGAGTGAGGTGTTGGGTTCATGGAGTCAGTTCCAACTCCAAGCACTGCTCTGCTGCCATTGGTGCTGGAAGCATACCCGAAAGCGACACACGTCACATTTTTTCTGTTGCTTCTTCTTGCTTGTATTCTGATTGGTCATCTTTTTGAGAAGAAAAGTTGGCTGAATGAGTCAATTACATCCATAGCCATTGTAAGTTTGCATTTAAAGGCTTTATCGTGCGTCATTGCATAATTATCTAACATTGTTTGTTTCTATGGTCCAATCGTTAGGGTGTTTTCACTGGAATTCTCATTCTCTTAACTACTAGAGGACAAAGTTCTCACATCCTAGTATTCAATGAACAACTTTTCTTCATTTACCTTCTTCCACCTATAATATTTAATGCCGGGTAAATTGCTATAATCTTATTGAACTATCATTCGACTAACTTCATTGTATTGAATAAATGGTCTTTCATAGTTTGTATATGTAAAAGTTTTCTCCCAGTTTATTTTGATTTTAACTTTTTGGTCTGTGTTTAATTTAAACCTTACACCTAATATAGGTTTCAGGTGAAGAAGAAACAGTTCTTTCGCAACTTTATGACAATCATATTGTTTGGTGCTTTTGGAAGTGTGATATCGTTTGTCATTATATCACTAGGTATATATTATTGCATCTCGGGTATTTCATGGCATCCATAATATTTTTTCAACCTTCAGCTTGGCCTATTTTCTTTGAAAAGAGAAATAGAAACTTCACAGATCATGAATAATATATTAATTGAGCAGAAGAGTATCTTGTTTAGACCTGTGGCTATACATTGAACATAAAAGTTCTCTAATTTTTGTGATACACTGCCTTGCTAATTCAAATAGGGGTTTTCTTTAAAAATATATAGGAAGTTGATCATATGTTTTTATCATTAGAACATATCTGCATATGTTCATGATGATTATTGTCTATTTAGATTAACATCTTTTGATTTATCAAGAATGTAACTTGAAAACCAATGACACAGGTTCCCTCCATTTATTCAAGAACTTGGATGTTGGCTTCTTAGACATGCAAGACTATTTTGGTACATTTCAATCCTATATCATGTTTAATTTGGTGATTCTTTAATTTATCGACCCACCTTCTCTGTTCTTCCATCCTTACTTTTTCGTTGCTTATTGTTTATTAATGGTTTTACTTGTAGCACTTGGAGCAATCTTAACTGCGACGGATAGTGTTTGCACCCTACAGGTACATTTAAATGTTTTTCAATGGATTCTTTGTGCTTATAATAGATGCTCTTGCTGTTTGACCAGTTATCTAAGAAAAAAAAGATGCACTTACTGTTTGACTATGTTGTTATGTTCCAGGTTCTTAATCAAGATGAGACACCTTTACTTTATAGTCTAGTCTTTGGCGAAGGGGTGGTCAATGATGCTACCTCAGTGGTACTCTTCAATGCAATCCAGCAATTTGACCTCTCTCACATCACTTCTACAAATGCCATTCAATTAGCTGGAAGTTTCTTAAGTTTGTTCTTGGGAAGCACATTGCTGGGATTAGCAGTGAGTATATAAAATAAATTAATTTACTAATCTATGGAAAAAAAGTTAATAAACGTAAAGAAAATATTTAATAATATTATAAATGTAAGTTACAACGGAAACCTTTAACTAAAATTATTGGCTGTGCTATGGAGAAACTTTCCAGTGCCGGGTTTTGATTATGATAATCGACCCAGGGAATAGATGTAATCATAGTCTAATAATATGTTTGTTTACTTCCTATTGTTTTTATGTTATTCATTTGGGTTTCATTGATTTGTTATTATGTCTTTATATATTCTTAATTTTCTTTTTTGGAGGTTGGGCTGCTATCTGCATATATCATGAAAAAGCTACAATTCGGCAGGTATGGATGTACAATTTTCTTTTATCGTTTTTTTTTTTAAATGTCTGGGTACTCTTGTATTCATATCCATGCTTCATACGTTTGGGAACTTCTTCACACTACAAGGATTTTTACAGATCCCGACGAAACTTTTTCCAACGTTCACATTTTCATCGGGATAATTCCCATTTTCCCGACGCTTATAATTTTCGTCGGGAAAAGCCTCTTCTCCCAATATTTTGAGGCATCGAGAAAAACCTTATTTCAAGGAGTGTTATTTTTGAAATGTTGTTTCTATTTGTACATAATATGTTTTCCAATGTCAAGGGGCCCATTGAAGAGAGTGTGTTATTAACATTGACTTTCAACCGTTGTGTTTCGTTTATTGAAATATTCGTTATGTAAAATTTCAGGCACTCTACATATCGTGAAATTGTCATGTTGATTTTGTTGGCCTACCTTTCATATATGATTGCTGAAGTAAGATTTCTTATGAGCTATCAAATCAAAATGATAATTATTGTTACTTCAGTTTGTATTTAGATTTCAATTCTTTAGGGATGACATAATCATTGTTTATTATTGCAGTACTGGCATCTTAGTGGTATTCTTAGTGTGTTTTTTTGTGGGATTGTCATGTCTCACTACACTTGGCATAATGTGACTGAAAGTTGCAGACAGATAAGTAGGTAATGTCAACTGTTTCCATGGTCTCGTTTGAAACCACATTTTCAAGTGATAAAGCAATTAAAGCTTATCTTCTTGAAGTATTCATACAACTGATTTTCTTGTGATGTGTTGATACTTGCAGCCACATTTTTGCAACATTGTCTTTCGTTGCAGAGACTCTTATCTTCCTTTATGTTGGTATGGATGCCTTGGATATTGAAAAGTGGAGTTTTGTTAGAATGAGGTAAAGCCTAAATGTTGAGTCCAAGTATTTTAACCTATGTTTTTATATTCTAGGACTTTATTTATAGTGATTTCATGTTTTGTTTTCTAAAAATTATTTTTGAAATCTTAGCCAATTAAAAAAATTAAATATAGATCTCTAAAACTTTTCACTTTTAAAATTTGATCAAGATTTCGAAACGTGGTTTTAATTTTAGAACATAAATATTATTTTAATTTTAATAAAAAGTAACAAAATAATTAGTATAAACTATCATTATTAGAGGTAAGGTTAGAAAATTTTAAAATTATAGGAAAATATGTCCAAAAATGATTCTCAAAGTTGTCAACTATCCCTCTCTTTCACAGCCCTGGGACATCAATTGGAGCAAGTTCTATACTTCTGGGTCTTGTTCTTGTTGGGAGAGGAGCTTTTGTATTCCCACTCTCGTTCATATCCAACTTGACCAGAAAGTCTGACAAAGACCGTATTGGGTTTAAGCAGCAGGTAAGTTAACTTTTTATGTTGTTGCCTTGCCAGCATTTTTTTTAGTACAACAACAAGTGGGGGTGGGGATTCAAACTCACACCGTTTTAGTCGGAAATAGATTTCTAAACGAGTGGAGTTAACTTGGTGCCTTTGCCAGCATTTGTCTTTATTTGAGGAAGAGATGACTAATTGGTAAATCTCTGCAGGTTACAATTTGGTGGGCTGGGCTCATGAGAGGGGCTGTATCTGTGGCTCTTGCTTATAATCAGGTACAATTGCAACAATAATTTTTGCTGTCCTCCTCTCATATCTTTATGAGAAACCAAGTTTTCAGGTTATTCAATGGTAGTTTAATGCGGTATCAATCCAATAAAAAATCACGTGTTCAAACTTTGTATTAATATTGATAATTGCTTGTCGGGTCGTGTGCAAATTTTCAAGTCCAAAAGGGAGGGTTAAAAATGTGAATAAAAAATTAAATTTATTGTAACCCATCGGCTTAAGCTCTTGGGCTCAATGGTAGTTTAACACTGCTCCTTGATAGACCTTGTGTGTAATTTGGGAAACCTCCAACTCCGAACTTTGTGAGATAACTAATTGCGTGACATATATATTCTTTTTCCTTGTAGTTGTCTTATATCGGTTCTTCTCTACGACCCTTTTTTTTATTAAATATTGTTTGCTTTTGGAATGCATGTGATTAAGCTTTGTATGTTGTCCTATGTGCAGTTTACAATGTCAGGGCAAAATCAAATAAGAGGGGCTTCGATGATGATAACTAGCACCATTTCAATTGTCCTCTTCACTAATTTGGTAAGTCACAGAGAAATAAGGCTGCAATGTTAAGCTTACAATAATATCATCAATTTGCTCTCTATTCCAGTTTCATTTGCTTATTTAACAAGATACGATAATTCCCACTTATTTTGTTTGGGATGACTTTTGAAAAAAGTACTTTTTAAATAAAATCACTTTTCTTACCAACACTTCTTTTAAAAACTTCTAATTTAGAGCGTGTTTAGTTTTCTAAGTGAATATAGTTGAAAGTGTTATTCTTTTTCTAAATCTATAATGTTTGGTAACAATAAAAAATATCTTCAATCAAATTGCTTTAAAAACTCTTTTTGAATAAACACACGAGAGATGATTATAAAAAAAAAAAAAAAAAAACTTTCAAGTGATTGACACTGTGTAGATTTAGTACTTGAGAGATGATTACTAAAAAATAAGTTCAAAAATTCGTGCTTAAAGTAAAAGATATGCCAAACTTATCCTTAATATGCTATGGTTTCAATGTTATTATTAATGCGGTGTATTTAAGAAGTTATGTCCTAAGTTTATACATGAAGCCTGAATGATATTCACTTTTGATGATCTGTTTTACTGTTTACTTTAGGTCTTTGGATTGTTCACCAAGTCTATAGTAAGAATCATGGTTCCTAGAGTCAACAACACAACATATGCAGATTTTCCTACACTGGAATCATTGAGCGATCCGTTCCTGCTCGACGTCGACGATGATCTCGAATCCGACATGGATGGAGCAAACATGCCTCGTACAAACAGTTGCCTGTTGTTTTTGAGATTTCCAACTCAATGTATCAATCACTACTGGCGGAAGTTTGATGAGTGTTTTATGCGTCCTGTGTTTGGAGGGAGTGATACATCATTGGATCCTCACACTCCTGAAAATTTCCCTTGATTATAGACTTGTAGAGAAGTGATATTAAAACTCGAAGAAATTAAGAGCGAATGAAAAATACTTGTCTACACACGGGTCAGTAGAAATTCTTTTAGATAAGTGGATTCCAGTATGTCATATAAGTTTTAGCGGGAGAAATTTTTTTAGATAAGTGGATTCCACTACGTCTCTTAAGTTTTAGCGGGAGCTCCTATTAGGTCACCGATGTGGATGTGTAGGTGGGTATTTTTTATTTTTATTTTCCAAATAATTTCGTAGAAATATTATGTATATATTAGTTTTTTTTCCATGAGATTTTTTCCTTTTCTTGAGTTAAGCAAATGTGGATTTTTTGAGTTCATGTTGGTTGGGTGATAAATTTATTCAAACACAAATAATTCTTATTAAATAATTAATATAAAAAACTATTAAATAAAAATAAAGATATGTATATATAATTTTATGGTAGGTAAAATAAATACTATTTTGGTTCATGTTTAGTTTATTTTTGTCCTTTATTTTCAACTTTGGTTCATTTTAGACTCTATAGTTTATTTTAAAAAGTTACTATTTTGATCCTTATTTGTAAAATTTTCACACTGAAAATTCTTTAATCTAAAGTCATGGGTACATTCCAAGAAGGAAAATACTTACCTCCTCAACAATGAATATGAATCTTGTCCTCCTCACCATTAAATGTTTGACAACTAAGAGACAAAAACGCAAAAATATAAACTTTTTTTTTAATAATAATGAATTGTCAAATATTTAGCGGTGAGGAGGACAAAGTTCATCCTCATGGTTGAGAAGGCAAATATTTTCCTTCCAAGAAATGTTTTAAGGATACAAAAAATGAGTTTGAAAATGAAAATAAAAGACCAAAATTGTCACTTTTTAATAATATAAAAACCAAAACAAACATTTTAAAAGCAGAAGGACTAAAATGAATTAAACTTAAAATACAATAATCAAAATGAATATCTAGAAAGTACAACCCAATCGAGCAAACAGTTTGAATTCTTAAAGAAAAATATTTGGCTCTTCAACCATAAAGAGAAAGAGAAGTCTTGTCTTCACCATTAAATATTCAACCACTCATTATTATTTAAAAAAATATCTTTGTTTTTGTATTTCTCTCTTTTCTTGTCAAATATTTAATGGTGAGGTGAATAAAGCTAAGTTTCCGTGCCTCCTTCCTCGTCGCGGGAATTCCCAATTTTTTTTCTTTTTCAAGTATTGACTCAAATTATTTGTCCATAAAGTAAGTCTAGTTCCTTTTCTTTTTTGGTGTCTAATCATGATGTGTAAATTTACAAAGTCAACCAAAAATCTACTTTGTCCTAATGTTTAAGTAATGATTTAAGAAGTGAAAGTCTTAAAAATAAAATAATTATAAAAAGCAAGTAATTGTTAAAGAGGCACAAATTCCAATAATCAAGAACTACAAGATCCTAGTTCATTTCACATCTAATTAATTTCCACTACTTTTTTTTTATATCTTTCTATCTTTTATTACTATGAAGTTTAAATAGTATTTCCCTTTCTACTTTTAGGTTAAATTATAATTTAATCTTTGAGTTTTTATATTTGTATCGAATAAGTCATTGAACTTTAAAACGTGTCTAATAAGTTTGAGAACTTATAATTTTTGGATACTTAGACTTTAAAAAATGTTTAACAGGGATCTAAACTTGTAAATTTATGTCTAATAAGTTTTTGAACTTTCAATTTTATATTTAATCAGTCTCTAATATTTTAAAAAATTCATGAAATTCTTAGGCACAAAATTGAAAATTTTAGAGATCTATTGATGAATTTTTATACAAAATTTAGAAATTAAAATAAAATATTTGAAAGTTGAATTAGTAAAACAGAAGATTTATAAATTTAAATTTAAAGACAAACTAATAAAATAAGTATTAAAATTCAAGATCTAAAGTAAGATTTAAAGCTTGTAATGGTTAATTTTGACATAGGAAACAAACTTTTGAGATGTTGGAAAATGAGGAAAAAGCAAAGAAAGCCAAAAGGCCCTCTTTTTTCTCAAGGTGCTCTTTTAGGTACACTTACTCATGGTGTCATTTTCATATCTAAATATATAAATTAATTTTATAGAAATACCCCTAGAAATAACAATATCGATGTTGATCGATATTTTTTAAAAGTATAAAAAAATTCATAATAAATATTTAAAATAACAAATAAACACTTTTCACTCTATTTAAATAAACTAAAATTTATTAATATTAATATTATGTCTATATTAATGATATTTTTATACGTTGTCAATCTTTATGCGATACTACGGAAATATAAATTCAGTCACATATCGATTTTGAATCCATAGACATGAAAATGTCGACGAAGAGATCAACAAATCAATGGAAATTTAATACGTTGATATAAATATAAATTAATATTTTTCTAACATTTATATTCCAAGTAGAATAGGACGAGTCTCTTGACAATAGAATTTTGATGGTTTAACAGAAAATATTTTGGTTGGTGACATTAATAACTTTTTTGTAAATCAATATTTTCTTTTTATCTTGTAATCTACTTTTAAAAAAAAAATCCTTAAATACTTGTCAATTTTTAGAACAAGATTTTAAATAAAGCCAACCGTAGTTAGACAAACCTTAATTTTTCCATGAAGAAAATTTCTACATTTATGTATAATCTTTGTCTAATACTTACCAACTTTTTCTATTAAAAATTTAAATGATTGTTTATTCTATATTTGTGCGAATATTATCTTATTATTAATGTATAAAAAAATTTTAAATAGTCTCATACGCTCTCGAATATTAAAAAAAGAAAATAAATGTCATGTACTATCTCTATTGAATGTATTAAATTTTCATGAACACGTCGACATTTTCATAGGTTCAATATTTGATATAAGAGAAGTATCGACATTTTCATAAAACTAAGAGTTCAATATTTGCATCAAAGTCAATCCTAACAATTAAATTTAAGATTAAAAAAACAAGAAAAAAAATAAATGAAAGACTAAATATATATAATTTAATCCCTAATAATTATGTAATTTTCACTTTCGGTGTACTAAATTTGTTTCAACAAAAATCAAAAGAATAATTTGATTGAAAAAGGTATATTAAAAGAAATGAATAATTATTAAACAAAATTTAAATACCCAATTGGAAATATAACTCAAATAGTAAAATAAAATCATAAATATTTAGTAAAAAAAAAGTAATGGAATGAGAATCAGCTTCACTCACTAATGAGACAAACAACTACACCCCAACATTCCACTACTACACCTTTACACCACCAACGGCTCACCGGCGACCGACCTCCGCCGCGAAAGCCGCC